TGTCTAAAAAAGGAATCACCACCACCGCAGGAAACGATTTGATTAGTCAGAATAGTGTCATGTTGCTGACTAGGGCTTTCACCCAGAATTATGTTACTAACCCATTGAGAAAATGTAAAGGGAAGGTTTGGGTGGTTGAACCAGGCCTCTAATCCTCATATATCTGAAAAGGAATTCAAATGCCAGGCATGGTGGCAAACACTGTAATCCCTGCACTTGGGAAGCTGAGGCAGGAGGATTAAGAGTTCAGTGTCAGTCTGGACTACATAGCAAGATCAGTTTTTGGTTTTTTTGTTTTGTTTTGTTTTTAAAGAAGAAATTCAATAAATCTAATATGACCAAAACAAAGAATAACTGTGTCATTTATTTAGAAATGGAGGCTAATAAAGGAGAAACAGGTAATACTGTTGAAAGTGGTAGACTTGGCTATGTGGGAAGTGAACCCATTTTCATAATCAGCCCCTTAAAACCATTTGACTTTCAAACTATGTCATGTATGATTTTGAAAAAGAATAAAACTTTAAAAAGAAATGGTGATGTTGGGGGTGGAACTGAGGACCTTTCTCAGTAAGGACTCTCCCACTAAGCTGCATCCCAGCCCCTGATAAAGTATTGATCGTAATAAATACTTAAAAATGTGAATGAAATAGTTCTTCAAGGAAGCAGGAGTTAGCAGTTGGATTTACCTGAACAACTCAGACTCTAATATACTGTAGGAATCACTCCCCGAGAAACAGGGAGGGAGTGGTGTTGAACCCTGGGTAAATCAAAGCCTGGGGTCACAGCACATGGGGTGGTGACAGTTATCAGGCACCCTGCCTTCTGGGCTCTCCAAGACCTCAGAAGCACCAAGGGGCTGTGTGGGTGGCACAAAGAAAATCACAGCCACGAGGAACAATATGGGTCTGAACCCAAGTGCCTAGCCCAGTGCTAAGTACTTCCCGTGCTTTGTCTCAGCGGCCTCCCAAGAGCTGTGGGTGGAGTCTTGCTATACCCTTGCTCAACCAAAGAGCAAGATGAAGCTTAGAGACGCTGTGGAAGGTGTTACATTTAGTGTATTTACGATGTGGCAGAGCTGGGATGAGAACCCTTGTCTGTCCCAGCAAAAGCTAAACTCCTACTGCCCGGCTACCTGGTCTCCTATCATCTTTGTATGTTTATGACTGTGGAGAACAGGGTACATGGCTTGTCCAGCCACTTCCAGTTCTTCTGAACGCCATCTTTCTCTGGAAAGTTAGTAATTCCTGATCTACTTCACTCAGAAGTTAGGTGGCCCAAAGATGAAGACATGCCCAAAACTTTATGTAAACTCTGTTAGTGTATGCAAATGAAGCATTATTTCTGACCCCTGAGGGAGACAGGTGACCTTGTCTCCTACATGCACTTTTACAGAAGCCATCGTTGGCCATTTGTGGTCACTTACATAACCAAGCTCAAGTGGTAGGGTTCTGGAATGATGTTTCCCAGTCCCTGTTCGACAGGCAGGCTGATGCTGAGGGCACTTGGACTTTGAATGTGACATGCCACCTCCATTTGGGAAATCTATAATATTTACTTCTGAGGAATTAGTCTCCCCTCCCCCTTTTTGGCAGTTTTGGGATTTGAACTCAGGGCCTTGTGTTGGCTAGGCAAGTGCTATACTGCTTGAACTATACCCCCAGCACTTTTTTTGGCTTTTGGTTATTTTTTTGGCTTTTTTGCCAGGGCTATCCTGAACCACGATCCTCCTACTGCTTTTGTTGATGTGGAGATTGGGGTCTCACTAACATTTTGCCTGGGCTGGCCTCAAACCTCAATCCTCTGGATTTCTATTTCCCAAGCAGCTGGTGGTATACATGTGAGCCAACATGCCTGGCTGATTCAGTCTCCTTTAAAAAATTTTTTCCATAAATCCCAGAGTCCTTGAAGTGCATGATCTTCAGCTTCAACTCAGTGTCTGGGAACAGTGGAACTGAACAACTCCAGGTGAGAAACCGTTTCCTCTCTCTTTATGCACATGTTTGTAGCAAGCATGATTTGGGGCAACTTTTACTGGCCAACTCTGAGGGATACCATGGGTCCAATGACTTTCCAGACGTTTGCTTTAGCTCACGCCTGCCACCTGGTGGACAGTATTCACTTTTCATTTCTTAACTTTTTCAAAGTGCTTGCATTTAAAAGCCTATTGGGTGCTCCTATAATCTGTGAAATATCTGGGTAGCATTATTATTTCCACTGGATAGTATTATTATTTCAACTTTATAATGAGAAAATTGGGGCGTAGAGCGAGGAAAGAATTTGTAAGTACCTGGAACTACAGTTAAGTGTCTTTTCCCTCCGTTCAGCAAAAATCCAACCCCCCAAAATAGTATCATCTTAGTGCTCTGGGTTTGAGCCCAGTGTAAGTTCCAGCTCAGCAACTGCCACTAAGTGAGATTTTTCCATAGAATTGAACTTGAACTCTCCCAAGCCTGCCATCATTCTGAATGTTTGGACGTGGTGGAACTAATTCACTCAATGCATGTGCTGAAGTACGTCCCAAAGGGAAAGCGAGGGCTGAGGCCACTTCAACTCTTGTGTTTTAAAGTTTGTGTGTGGTTGCAATCTCCCAAACCTGAGTTTAGTTAAAGACAAAAACACAGGCTGTGATATCTCCTGGGAATCCTCCGAATACACCCCATTACCACTTTACCAAAGTGCAAGGACAGTCTGCTACTTGGGCATCGCACAGTCCTGGCTGAGCTGTGATGGGTGTCAGGCTGTCCCCTCCAGCTGATTGGCTCTGCCATTCATTAACATGTGAAAGTCCCATGCCTCTTCTTCCTCATGGGAGAGGTGTGAAGATTCAGTCAGACAATGCACATACAGCACTCAGCTCCCTGTTCGTCACCCAGGCTTTGTGATTTGACTTGTTACTCTGCTACTGTTCATGAGTGAGTAAGGAGACGTGATGAAGACTCATCATGACACAGTGTGTGTGGTGGTTGGATGTGATTTGTAACCCAAAGGTACACGTACCGGATGCTTGGTCCCCAGTGTGGTGGTACCTTTAAGAGGTGGGACCAACTGGAAAGGAATTAGGTCATGGGGGTCTCCATTCTCATGAATCGATTAGTGCTGGTCCTGCAAAGTGGGTTGGGTCTCACTGTAGCGATGCGTACAAAAATGGGTCATTACCAAGGCCACCCTTGGTGACTGGCTTTTTCTGTACACAGCACTCACCTCCCTCACATACTCCCACCACTATGAGACCATCTGCCATGAGCCCCTCACCAGAGCTTAGCAGATGCTGGCTCCATGGTCTTGAATATCCAGAACAGTAAGTTAAATAATTTACTTTATAAGTTTCACCTAGTCTCAGGTCATTTGTTATAGCAATGGAAAACAAACAAAGACAATGTGCATGTTGGGGCAGTCAATGGAAAGGCTTTAGGGTTTAAATATGTTCTCCCATTAGTAGTTCTCCACTTAGGTGGTATTCTATAAGCCCTATCCCCAAAGAGGGGGTGTGTGCACCATCAGCATTTGGGAGAACTGGGTACCACACCAGGGTTGTCCCACTCTATGAAGATTGTGTCTTGAGAAGACATTTCTCTAAATGTCCAATGTATAAATGGCCAAAAGCATGTGAAAAGATGTTTAATATCACCAGTCATCAGGAAAATGCAAACCAAACGCACAGTGAAATATCACCCATTAGGATGGCTATTCTTAAAAAAAAAAGAAACAGAAACTAACAAGTGTTGACAGGATGTGGATGTGGATGGAAATGCAATGTGGTACAGCCAGCACTGCTGTACTCAAAAAATGAAAAATTGGCCAGGTGTGGTGCTTCATGTCTATAATACCAGATACTTGGGAGGTGAAAACAGGAGAAACACAGTTACACACCAGCTTGGCAAAGTTAGTGCAAGACTCTATCTGAAAAACAAATGAAAAGCAAAAGGACTGGGGGTGTGGCTCAAGTGACGGAGTGCTTGCCTAGCAAGTACAAGGCTCTGAGTTCAATTCTCTGTACTTCCAAGAAAAAAAGAAAGAAAAAAAATGTAGTCAAGCAATTCCATTTCTAGGGATATAAGAACTAAAAAAAGGGGGAGAGATATTCATATGTCCACATCCATCACAACAATATTCACAATAGCCAGGCGTTGAAAGTAACTCAAGTGTCCTTTGATGGATGACTGAAATGTTATTCAACCCTAAAAATGAGGTAAATTCTGACACAAGCTACCAATGGATGAACTTTAAGGGCTTAAGCTAGGCAAAAAATAAACCAGATGCAAAAGGACAAATATTGTATAATTCCATTTATCCGAGGTCCCTGGAGTAGTCACATTCACACAGAGAGAAAGCAGAATAGGGGTTTCCAAGGGCTTGGGGAGCAGGGAGAAGAATGGGGAGCTGATGTTTGATGGGTACAGAGTTTTGGTTTTTACAAGACAAAAGGAATCTGGGGATAGATGAAGATGATGACTGTATGACAATGTGAGTGTACTTAAAGTTACTGAACTGTACACATAAAAACGGTTATGATGGGTTAGGATGGGTATCAGTGGTAGAGGTCTATCAGAGTGACCCCTCCAAAACAAGGTTATGAAGGTCAATGTGTGTGTTTTATTATAATAAAAAAGGAAAAGAATCATGTCACCTAAAGTACCAACAGCTTCCCTTTGAGAGATGCCACGAGACCATCAAAAATGGTCAGGTACACATGAATTTGGTTACAAATTCATTCACACTTTGGAGAACCATCTCAGTTGTCACGTGCATTCTGTTTCCCCGTGTCTCAGCTGACAAAAAGACCTTTAACATCAGGGTAAGCAACACCTCCAGGGAGCCAGGACAGAAGGAGTCGTGTGTTTAGCAGATGGCTTTTGTTTCACGTGTTTATAGTAACTAATTTATAAATTGCCTCTCCCGGTCAATAAAATTACCTTAGGGGCAACAACTTGGTATTTCCAGCTCCCGGTGGCATTTTCCTTTTCTCATGGGAAACCGAACAGTTGGAGAACTGTCCCTACCTTGTAGATGCATGACTTGGCATTCAGGAAGAAGAGCTCAATGGTAGCGTTGTCCTTCAGGTAGGAGATGCTTTCTATGTAGAACCTGAAAGAGAAGATGCACCCATGAGCCTCAGCGATGTCACTCCCACTGCCAGCTCTTCCCTGGAGCTGCGAGATTGGAGATAAGGGCTCGAACACCCAAAGCAGGTGTCACCAATCATTTTTCTATGGTTCTTTTTTGAGGGCAAACAGGTTTTCCGTGCACGTTTACAGCAGGTTAGGTCTGCCATGCCTGAGAACATCCCCAGAGTCAGAGAAGAGGTTCTGCATGCACCTGGAGGAACAGACGCTGAGCTGACCATCCACTTTCTTTTCCCGGACCTGCTTTCCATCTTTTCATGTTACTTGTTTTCATTGCACTACTTTTTTGTCCTAATCGTTGTTACTGGGGCTTGAACTCAGGACCTCATGCTTGCTAGGCATGCGCCTACCACTTGAGCCACTCTGCCAGCCCGTTGAGTTGATTTTTTTTTTTTTTTTTTAGGATAATTCCTTCTGCTTAATTGAAGAGTCGGGGCAGGGGCAGTCACATTTCTCTCTTGTGCGTTCCTGGGGGTGGCGAATTGTGACTTAATTTCAGCACATCCAGAGAGCTGTGGCAAGTGTTCTCAACACTATAATACGAATGCATATTAAGCCAAATGAGAGTTGAATTCCTACCCAGATGGAGCCTATGGAGTCTTTTCAAGATGAGCCATGCTGACGTTATTTAAGTTTATATTAAATCCACCTTTCCGCATCAACTTCAGAGTTTATTGAATTCTTTAATCAGGTACTGTGCTTGTACTGTCTAGGGATCAGCCTGTGACGGGAAACTTGGATGAGGGAGTGATTGAAATGCAGTGTGTTGGAAGGGAGGACTTCTTGGTGGAGTTACACCCCTCGGATTAGAACAGGGAGGCACTAACTTCTTGGCTCAAGGAAACCGATGGGCCATGAGGGGCGGAGGGTGGGGACGGTGAGGTCTAGCATGGTTCTTCCAGCACAGTGTCACAATCTGATGACAAGAACCTTGGGAGGGAACCAAAGAGCAGGGATTAGAGGACTACCTGGCTCTGTGGGACAAGGTGCACAATCTCTCTGGGTTTCTCCTTTCCAGATCGTTTAAAAGAACAGAGTTGAACTCAGTCAATGGTTTGCCATCTAAGAAGTCTACTAGCTTTTAAACATCAGAAATCAATCCAAATTAAAACAGTAATAGTAACAGCAGCAGCAAAAACAAGCCAGAAGTGTCCAAGGCAAACAAAACACATCTGCAGGCTAGGTCAAGCCCACAGCCCCACCAGCTGCAATTCCTGTGTATAGATGAAATGAATGGTGTCTTCTAAAACTTTTCAAATGTGGGTGAGACTTCTGTGGTGAGTATAATATAAATTCATTTAGGCATGTGAGTGAGTCTGGTGTAACTTCAGATAGCAGAGTTCCTCAATCAACAAGCAAGAGTACTGCAATTTCTGTCACACAGGGTCTACAAAAGTTTGGAGGATTAAAAATGGTCCTCAGGGTTGGTGGAGTGGCTCAAGTGGTAAGAGCACCTGCCTACCAAGCATGAGGGCCTGAGTTCAAACCCTGGTACTGCCAAAAAAGGGAAAAAATGGTCCTCATACTTGTAAAGCCTGAGAATGAATGTGGACTGAACAATCTACCCCAAGCCCCATCCCTAAAGTATCTGCCTCCTGCTTTGGAATCAAGGGGTGTAGGTACTGGGGTTGCCATATAACAGGGTCTGTAACAGTTTCAGAGAACACCTAAAGTTGTCTGGAATGGAGGACTGAAACACAAGCAAGAAATTTTACATCTCAAAGCAAAATGTGTTAAATTTGATGTAAGTTTAAAAGGGAACAAATGAGATAAAGATGCAGGGCACTGGTTTGAAAATTAAGTTCTTTCAAACCCTCCAGGGCTGTTGGAATGGCTCAGGTGGTAGACTGCTTGCCTAGCAAGTGCAAGGCTCTGAGTTCAAAGCCTAGTACTGCCAAAAACAACAACAAAAACCAAGATATCAAACTCTACAGATTTAAACTCAACATTATTATTATAGTAGTAAGGTCATTGTCAACTTCAGAAAGCTGCTGCTATTCTTCTGGTATCAGGATTCAAGATAGCTTTAACCTTTCTGTGTTCACAGTGAGTGAAAGGGACAGCGGGACAGTGACTGGCTCCATGGAACCTAAGACCCCATCCTGGAAGCTTTTGCCATCTGAGGGATGCTCTGGCAACTTACAGATGTGGCCTATTTTGGGTGAACCTTGCTTCGGTGCCTTTGTTCAAACCACTCCTCTCATCTCTCAGAACCCATATAACCCTTGCCCTTCAGCCCTCAGCTCAAGGTCCCCCCACCTCCGCCAGAGGTCACTTCCAGGGCCCTGCTCGCCCTCCCCACAGAAAGCTCCTTCCGCATGCCCCTGGGTCACTGCTTATTGTATTGCCCACAGGCCTGTCCTTTTCTGATTATTAGGATGCCTCTTGTTAGCTGCCAACTCCTGGAGGCCATTGTTCATTTTTGTATCCCAAGACCAAGTACAATGGCTGGCCCAAATACAACGTTTGTAAGTACCAGTGAGTGAAAACTTTGGTTTTTAGCTTTTCTCCTTTTCATTCCCACTGGTCTAATGAAGGCAGTCAGGAGGGGGACAAATAATAAATGACTTGCAAGGTGTCCAAAAACTCCAGGTGTGTGGTCTTCTAGTCCACACAGCCAGTCATTAGCCCACTGCCCCCTTCACTAACCCTTAACATGGAAAATGGCTAGACCAAAGCTACCAACTAGCTTGGATCATAATTCTAGAATAACAGCACTGGGCTGACAGAATAATAATTTTGTCTGTAGGTCCTGAAATAGCTTAAATTTCAAAGCTGTTCTGAATGTCTTTATCACATTTATTTTGGGTCTTGAGATAAGGAAGTGAAGACATTCTTCATGTCTCCTACCCTCAGCCCCAACTTCCTCCTGAATAAGATTTTAAGAAAACACACTTCATTTTTTTCCCAACGTTCTACCAATAGAAAACCAGAGGAGGTAGCAAAGTTGGTATCTCTCAGACAGCATCCATTTCTACCCTGTTCTCTGCTGTCGGGCAAAAGAGACACAGAGAAGGGAAAGGAATTAGCAGACATTTTCTGAGACTAAGAAAAAAAATCTCCTCTTGACAGAAACTGGAAAGTTGTTTCCTGTTAACCTTTATCACCAAGACAACAGCCTGGAAAACCCTGGAAGCCCTGGGCTTGTCATGTTTTGTTCATAACCTTGGACATTTAGCTCATCCTTAACTTTCCATCCATGCCAGGTAACAGCCAAGGTAAAAATGCCTGGAGAAAAACAGTCCTGAGATGTCTCCATTCTCACCCTGAGTGGACACCTGGGCGAAAAGACTTCTGGGAAAATGGGGAGTGCATGCAAAGTTGAGATTGTCTCCTTTTTAAAAAATTTGGTGCTGTCACATACACATGGAAATACCACAAGGAAACTCCTTGCATAGCTGCCTTTATTTCAAACAAACAAAAATGTCACAGTTTTCTTTTTCTTTTCTCTTTTGCAAAATTGAAGAACAGAAGGACAGAACATGTCCTGCCCAGGGGGAAGGGCTGGCACCAGTAGGAGGGGGAAGATGGAGGGGAAGGGGATAGGAAGGTGAATAGTGCAAAAAATGTGTGTGCATGTATGTAAATGCAAAAATGATACATGCTGGAATTATTCCACGAATGGGGCAGGAGGGATAAAGGAGAGGAGTGGAGGGGTGAATTCAAGTATGATATAGTTGATACACTGTAAGAACCTTTATAAATGCCACCCAACACAACAATAAAGGAGAAAAAAAAAAAAGAATTTGGTGCTGTTTCCAACTTCCATGAGAAACTTGTCCACAGTCCTCCTTTTCAGCAGTAGACGGCGCTGTTGCATTTTCTGAATCGTTACTGTGGGGAAGGGCAGGCTTCCCCACAGCCAAGCTCACAAAGAACATTCTAGTTCTCTGGGTAAACCCAAGGAAATGAAAGATGGGTTTTAGATTTCCAGGGTCTGCATGGGTAATTCCAAGTCTGGTTCTGTATAAACCATGTTTCAGTGATGTGATGCTTGGATGTCTGGGACCTTGCTGGCCCTGGAGGGGACCATGCCTCCCAGGTTGGCTAGTTCATGAAGCTAGGAAGCTACTCTTCATTGCTGTGACTCTCACCTGTGGCCAACCCATTCAGAGTGGCACCATGAACACATGCACTGGCTACGAGTCCCCTGCTTCATAGGAACACATACTAAACAATGTCCCAGAGCACACTGAAATCATATGGACTAGCCAACCCCAAGCTTGTCTTGCCATTCCTTCCTCAGGAAACCACAATAAAGGTTTGCGGCCACATTTTTTTCCCTCATTCTCTCTGCTTCCTACCAGTCCTTCCCTGTGTGGCTGTGCTTAGCATGGGGAGGCACGCCCCCCTCCTCTTGGGAACTGTGATCAATGAACTCTTCAACAGCAGTTGCCTCTTGGCCTTTTGGCCTCAGCATACCTGAGCAATAATGAATCCTACAGCGGGTTCCTCTGTACACTTAGCAGCACTGACCCTGAGGGCTTGCTTCTGAGTTGAAGGGAACATCCTCTAGGCTGAGGGTAACCCAGTCAAGATTCTCCTCGAACCCCATCAGCCATGTCACACCCACACTAGCTCAGATGACACTGCCCGAGAATATTTTATTACAGTTAGAGCAGGGATAAGAATATGTTCTGTGCTCACGTGTTTGAGTGTATTAAATACGCAGGGAGCTCTGGGGCCTTGGGGAGTCTCACCAACCCCTTCTTTAACCAGTGAAGCTTCAGATGGTGACAGATTGAACTCTGTTCAGCCAGAAGATGTCAGCCAGGTTTCCAGCCTCCCGCTCCTCCACTTCCCTCTCACAGTCACCCTCTGGCACTTGAGAATCACTGAATATTTACAGCAAGTGTTAATTAAATGGACCAGTGATTTCATTTTGTAACGAACACAAATGTTACATTTGGAACCCTGACTTTCAGTGGCAAAAACGAGCGAGAATAATGAGAGTTGATAAGC